TCCTAGTATGGGACTCTTCATCAGGAGTGCGCATCCACGACTCCTGCACCTCGCAGGATTTGAACCTGGGACTTTCGGTGTTGTGCGCGAACGCCTAACCGCTGGACCACTGGGCTGGCTCTAGTATGGAACTCGTCGACAAGGCATTAAAATTCATTTTGTACGAAATTGACTTTAAGATTGTAGTAAACTTTGTAAGCATAATACAAGAGAGATAGAATTTAACTATACCTATTATGGAATCGTAATCGATCTGAGACGTTTATAAACTTTCATCTAATTTCATTCATAGGTTATTTATTATCTTATCTTATAGTTGGCTAACTGTACCCTTCTTAAAATGTGTTATTTCTATTAATAATGAAAACAGCATTGGCATTTTCATGTTTTTAGCGACACGTGAGAGAAACGATTTAGGAATATAACTGACTCACACAGTTATTATTCTTGTTATTTTTCTCGATTTTCGTAAAGAATAATCATTTTTTCCTTTTATAGTAATCTTGTTTAAATCAACTATTCATTTTTATCAGCAGTGAATTTAATTAAATCATTGTTTACTCAAAGAATTGACATAATCCAGAAAATTGAGTTCATATATATATATATATATATATATATATATATATATATATATATATATATATGTAAATCGAACATCGTTTTTCTTATTCGACTCTCGTGTAGCATGTTAATGTTACTTAGTATATCAATACGTGAAATTTATTTTAGATCTAAGATAAAACATATTTGACACGTATTACTGAGAGTTGTTCAATTAAACTTGACAATTATATTGGATGCCGGTCCAGTGGTCCAGTGGTTAGGCGGACAGTCCTGGGTTCGAATCCTGCGAGGTGCGGGAGTCGTGGATGCGCACTGCCACTGATGAGTTCCATATCAGGACGAAACGGCCGTCCTTCAGTGCTTCCATGTTTCTAATGTTGGTCTAACAATGATTGACTGATGATTTCAATATGTGTAAAAAAAGCACTTATCTCCATAACTCTAATTGCAAATTATATTGAACTCTCCTGATATAATTTTAATTTTAGAGGTGAACATAAGTAGATGGTATATGATGTAAATTTCTCACTATTAATTACAATTCATATTTAATACTTAAAACAATGAACAGGATTTTATATTTAGAGTGACAGTTGTCAGAAAAAAAAAACCATTTCAAGTTTCATACAACATAATTTTCAAAGCTACAGTCATTTCATTTAAAACCTACTCATTATTTTATAAAAGTACAATAATTGACTGTTTATTGAATAAAACAAAATCAACAATTGAACATTCACTATTTAAATTGTTTTTCTTTTTAATCAAACAAATCATTCAATGTGATCATACACACACACATTATTGATTATTTTCATAAAGACGAATTAATTAGACGAAAAAAAAATTTAATTAATTTCAATCTGAACATCAATCAATACAATTTTAATAATGACAGTGAATGATGCATTTTATTTGTGGTCTAATTTTTTTAAATGAATAGAATTGAATAGTACATTAAACGTAAATTAGTGTGAAAAGGAAGACAAAAACACTTGTGACTAATGATCATTTTCTCAAATGATTAATCATGATAATGTGATTGAACTTTTCAGTTTTTATACTACTACTACTACAGTACAAAAAAATGATAAATGTTAGTAAGTGTATATACTAGTAAAACGAAGTCTTAAGAAAATGTTTCCTGATATTTATCGTGAATAAGTTCTTGTGTTTAAGAATCTTAATTGTAAACATGTAGTAGATTGAAATACCTCGCAAACTTGATATGTGATTGTAAAGGATCTAAAAGAATTCTTTAACCAAGTATTGTTATAGCAGCATTACACTATAACAAAAGAGGCGATTTTGTAAATTGAACAACCAAGGGGTTAGATATTTGATACTACTATGTGATATGATTATTATTAGTAGTAGTAGTAACCCATGGTTCGAAACCTTGAACGATATGGCTCAAAATCGTCTGCAATGGCGCAGGTGCATCCACTCTTTTTGTTCTCTCAAATTCTAATCTTCTGAATTCCTCATCACTTCTATATTTCTCTTTCTAAATTTATTTCACTGATTTACACTTCTTGATTAATATCTTATAACGCTAATCTTCTCCATTACCACTAAAATTTCTACTAGCTCTACCACTATGGGCTTTGAATTTACAATTTGATCTCTGTGCCAATAAGTTATGGCAACCCAAACCGAAATATGTACGTACAAAGTTCTACGTTGTAACTGATTGACTGACTGACTGACTGATTACTATATAATATGGCAATTTGTGACTACTGATATTTATCAATTCCGCAATAAAAAAGTATATAAACTAGTTGCTAAATTAAAAGATAAGTTTAGTTCTCACCAGAAAACCCTCTTATTTTCATGAGTAAGTTATTGTGCTTTTGAAGGATATGAGGTAAATTGATCGATTCGATGATGAATAACTTATTCACCTAAATATGCCTTGGTTAAAACACAATGATCATACCTTGTTTCTACTTTTTGGGATGACGATATAGTAAGTATGTAAACAGTAGTATCTGATAATGCTATCGTTTTTGAGACGTAACGCTACCTTGTGGAAACCATTTACCTGTTTTATTCTACACAGAGTTAGGTAGTAGTGAAGGGTTATTTTGTAGAAGTTTTTTATTCTACGATATCTTCAATTAGAGTTATGGGCATTTGTGTTTGCTCATATTGAAGTCATCAATCAATCATTGTTAGACCACCATTAGAAACTTGGAACCACTGGACGGCCATTGGGACTCTTCATTAGCAGTGCGCATCCATGACTCCTGAACCTCTCAGGATTCGAAGCCAGGAACTTCGGTCTATGCACATGAACGCCTGACCTCTGGATCACTGGGCTGGCATACAATGGTGTTAATGTATAACTGTGATCAATCTAGGAATTTTACGCGACCTCACTCATTTGTCTTTGTTAGTTACTGTCTACACCCTACAGGGTTGAATTTCACTGGTCACATCTTTAAAGGGTTTTAAGATAGATAGTCTTAGTTTCGAAAACAAAGTAAATCTTTGATATTGTAAATTTACCAAAGACGATGGATGTATCTGAACTCTCTTTTCAAAAGTTTCAACTTTACTACTTCTTTGCAATTAGTTTTCATTACATAATTATATCAAATGGAGTATAATAAAAACTTTGGGAGAATTAGATAGCTAATTACATTGTATACGTTCCTATGACATAGAAGTTTGTCCCCAAAGTATTAGACAAAGCAGGATTAGAAAAACCTAACAGTTATCGCAGTGCCAAACAATGCCACTGAACCAAACTGTTATGGTTGAATAACTCAATCTTTTGGTAAGTTTCAAAGTTTCATTGGTAACTGTTTCACTGTGGATTTGATTTAGCTTTATAAGTCACGCTTTATTAATAATGCAGACTAAAATATATATTTCATAGCTTAGTTTTAATTTGTAGTTATCATAAATATCGTTATCAGCAATAGAGATACACACTATTTTCAATAGCTATCAAATCGATATCAAAATAATTCAGAAAGGTTTTTCTGTCTATGAAGAGAGACGAGTAGCCATAGTAATTTACACAATTCTGAATCTCTATGTGCTTATTAAGAAAGGAGGCCTGACTTTTCATCCAACCTGGACTATTTATCGAAACAGCCGCATTTAACTCGTTATCTACACAATTCTACTCACATTCACACGTACTCAGCTTTCTGTCATTCTCTAATTTCAACTCCACTACTTCATGTCACAAATGATATGGTTTTCTAACCTCCTTCATACACACAGATAACAGTATGAAGTGTCATACAAAATCACCTTCGAAAATAACATTACATTGATATGTTCAGACCGATCGTGATTTCGACTGCACAAAGAATAATATTCAGCTTTGCCTTCTATTTAGTGTTTAAACTTGTGCTCATTTATTTCGGTTAGTTATTTATTTTACCCTGAAGAAGTGATTTGCATTAAGTCATAAAAGTCAGAATTGCTCTGATATCTAGAAAATAATTTTGAAATAAAAGCTATCATCAGTAAAAAGAAGTTTTTTGAATATTTTCATTCAGTTTCTGAAAAATTACATCAAATAATAATTGCCCGCTGTTTAGTACGTGTTTGTAATCTCTCGTTGTTGAACATTAGGATTGCAATTAATCGACTTTTGTCCTGACGTTTACATTCAAACCGGATTGCATAGATAGAGAGTTATATCACTTGTATTAATGTATTCAGTTAATGCATAGCAATAGGATTTATGGTATTCATCTCATCCCAATTAAGACTCATTAGATGAGCGTGCCCACGTTCTAACTTCTTTGTTTACACAGAAAACGTAACTAGCTTCTTCGATTCCACTCTTAGACAAACATTTAGTGTAATAAAGTCTGATAACTCATTAGGTTCAGTAAACTGCAAGCTAGAGGAAAGTATTCATATTAAATTGAAATCAAGGACGTTACTGTAATATCTTAATAATATGAGTGATTAATTATGTATATTTTATACCACTTATAAAACTAAGTGATTATCTGATAAAACTGTACAATATATTTCGGTGAACATTAAACAAATGATGTATATTTATATTTTTCTTAAGAAACCTAAATCCTTATGATTTTCTCCCTCATGGTTTTTTTTTCACTGAATTATTTAAAAGCCTTCTGCAGTGTGCATTCTGTATTTTGCTACCATATTTGTTGGTTTCTAATTTCTTACCGATGTCAACAGAGCTCACTTTATATGATTTTACAAACGTAGTTTTTTTAGTTATTTATGACAACTGTTGCATACATGTAGTCAAATAATAATCATTGGTCATTTAAATGACCAATCAAAAGTCAGTCAAGAAGATGACCAATCAAAATGGCAATATCGCCAAAAAAAGCACGTGACTTATATAATCAGCTGAAGTTGATTTAATCAGTTATTTAAATGAATTGAATTAACTCATTCAGAATTATATTTTTTTAGAACATTTTCTAGATTTGGATATTATGAAAGATTTAAATAATCATGTTTAAGTGACTTATTTTTACAAAATGATGTGACCTACAGTTGATTGAAATGCATAATAATAGATGTTTAGTCAGTTTGATTGTGATCACATTGATAAGTGTAAACACTGACAATGAATTCAATCAAATTGATTCACCTACTATCATTGACAGCTTAACATTTCCTTTGACAATATTTAATGATTTAGATACACAAAATGGTCCACCGAATCTTCCTATTAAAGAACAGACAACACGAAAATATTTACTTCCTACAGAACCAGTTGATATACCGAAGAAAAATTTCCATCAGCCACCTAACAAATCGAAATATTTTGACAAGCAAACTATTGGAAATGAATTCAATTATTCAATTTTCGATGTTGGTGAGTCTCTATGTCCAGATGTATATTGTTTTGCAAAGCGTTTATCTCCTTCAGATGAATTAACATTTGATTGTAAAGGTCAGTCGTCTGAAGTAAACAATGAGGATACAATGATTGACTGCCACTTTTGGCATGTACCATCAGCAGGTGCAGATTCTAATCAACAGCGTCAATATAAACAAGATGGAAGAGGATATGATTTACGTATTGTCTTAAAACCATCCACAGTAAGCGCAGATGATTTTTCTTCAAAGTCAAATGGCGCTGCAAGATTACGAATTGGCCATCTAAAACCAGGTGTATTGGGTTGGATTATTCAAACAGTAAGATCAAGTTTGAAAACGCCCCTAAGTCCTGTTCATTTGACAATCTCATTTATTTATTTCAGACATCTTGGACGAGATGACTTAGGTAATCTTGCAACTAAGTCACATGTGACACATTTAAGTCTATGGAATCCTTTCAACTGGGATGAGGATAGTTTTATTCCTTTTACAAATAAAACGTCAGAATCATTAAACAATATGGGATATTCAGCTGATGGTCCACCATATTTTCGTCTTTCTTTATTTTGTGATTATGAAAATCAAAAACCTTCATTTAGACGTTTATGGTTTCCATGGAAAAGTTGGCAACTTCGTCTTACTCACTGTCCTGATCTCTATGTTTGTTGGCAGTTGCACAGTAAATATCCTATCTGTGATGTGAAATATTCAGCTGATAATCCTGAGAAACTATTAAAGGCCTTTAAGCCATCTTATATGATTTCACCAAAATCATTAGTGAATTCACCTCAATCACCAAGACAAGAGACTGGCATGCAAATATTATATGATAATCAATGTTTACTTAATCCCAATAGAACAAAGCTTATGAATGATTTAAAAATGGACTATCTTAGTCAATGTCTGCGATCAGATAGCGACAAGCCAACAACAAATAAAACTACTTTACGTCAGACAACTGGATTACAAACTACGACTATTCCAACTACCGCAATGCCTACAACAACCAGCACAACAGTTGTAATTACTAGTGCACCTTCAAAGACTACGACGGTTACCACACCGTTAACAGAAACGTCTACAAGTCTTCCCACTACTCTAGCATTAACTACCACAACTGAAACTACAACAGATTCCACAACTAAATTAAATACAACGACAGACAACTTTAAATTGATAAAAAATGGCAAATCTCAAATCGATTCAATTTTAAAAACTAACGCGTCAAAAATCTATCCAAACGATAATAATTCCATGAACCAATCAAGCATTTGGTCACCTAAACATAGAGAAACTAATTTTTTCGATCAAAAAGCAAACGTCAACAAAACCACTGTCATTCTAACTAATCAAGATAGTTTCACTAAAAATGGTTTATCAATTGAATATTTAACATCTGGATTAATCTTATTAGCTATTTTAAACATACTATTAATATGTTGTTTTATTATCTTAGTTTTATGGATTCGACGAAGAATGCGAAATAATTCAGAAAATAAATTAATCAATTATAATAAAAACTTTTTTCAAGATTATTCAGGGATTGATATGGTGGGTAATCCTAATCTTGTGGGCGCTACTACTAATCACTGTCCACCAGTGTTAATATCCACTATGTCCGGACCATATTTATCTGGATCTCATCCACGATTAAATCATCGTCATAATTCATTTCCTAATAGTAGTTCTTTGTCACATTCACAAAATTTCGATACATTTCTACCTATATCTATGCATAAAATTAGTAATAATAATAATAATAGTTATGATAAGTATAATAGTAATCAAAGTCAACAATTTCTATTAGGTCGATCAACATCCTATTCAAGTAGTATGTGGAATGGATCATTAAGAAAAGGTTTAAATAATAATTCTTATACTTTTAACAACACTAATAATAATAATAATAATAGTAATAATGCGCGCCATAATGAGAAAGTATCGTTATTGAATAGATTCAATGTTCAAACGCATAAGCATAATTTAAACAACAATTCATCCAATGGTCTTTCAATTGAATCTAGTCAACAAATATCATCAACTCCATTTATTAGTCGAAAAGATTCTCAACCGATCAATAATGATGCATTGCCGCATCGTCCAAACAAGGGCATCAATCAATATTCATCACAAACAATCATTTCACCTTTACTGTCATCCTCTTCATCAACTGCTGTCAATGTTACAGAAGCGAATGTTGAACAAGAAAAACCACCACAGAAATTTATTTATAATTCAAGAAATCCTCTTCTGTGGAATGGACAACCATCGCCAACTTTACTGCATGAAATAAAAAAATCTCCAGTTGTAAATTATCGTAAAAATAAACGGAAATTTAATTATGGTAGACCACCATTAGCGAATCCGGTTAAAAAACCGCATACATTAATTTTTGAAAATAATAATGAAACTAATCAAACTAAATGGTCAGAGGATTTTAAAACATCTTTACATGAATTATGAGGAATCATGTCTGTAGATTTAATGTATACATTTATAGCCTATGAATGAATACAAGAGGTAAGATGCATGTTTTTCTATTCAATGTGTTCAATATTTATTGATAATTTATAATTTTATCAAACAACATCACTTATAACACAAGAAGTAATGATACGGTGTGGACACATGACAGGAACAGTGAGGTAAACAAAGATTAATGAGGATTTGAATAATTCTGTTTTACTGTTATTTATTTTGATATTGAATCTTATAAGGAGAATAAGTTTCTTCAGGATTATAGATAAATTTTGCTGAAAAGTGTCAATTGAACAAAAACGAAGTTTGAAGCCACGTGGTTATTAGTGTCAAGAAATTAACATTGGCATGTGGCAGTTTTGTTGAGAATATCACTGATTATGTGATAAACTGTCACATGACCAGCTTAGTATATAAGTATATTTTTAAGAACTCCAATAATTAAATCTGAAATATGTTTTTATCTATATTATAATAAATGAATGTCCAGGAGATTGTTGAATTTCACTGAGATCACGAAATGATTCGATTTAAGCCGCTATCAGGAGCTTGAAAGCGTTACACTTCTGTTTCGTACTATTATGGGACTCCTCGTCATTGTGCAAGCACAACCCCACAGGCTGGAATCGAACCTAGGACCTTCGGTCTTGTATGAGAACACCTAGACTGTGTACTATTAAGTTATTGTTCCAACTGATTTAGTCCATGAGATTGCGCAACCTCATCCTTCTTCTTTAGTGGGTAAGTGCCGCACACCCGAAATGATTTGGTGGTGGCTTCTTATCAGGTCTCTGAGAATTCCCTAATGAAGACAGTCACTAGTGTGCACTTGATAATTGGTATTTTGAGGTTGTGAATGCCCGATCAATTGGTTTACAGGTTAAGTGTTCGCGCACAAACCCGAAGGTCTAGGGTTCGATTCCCACATATGCGGTGGTTAGTGTGCACTGCTGATGAGCCTCAAACTAGCGAGAGACGGCCATCCAATGCTTTCAAGTTCTCAACTGGGATTCAACTTAGATCAGCCCATGAGTTCATAAAATCTTAATCGTTCTTCCACTGTTTTATATAATGTTTTCGAATTACGAATTTAAGCAAACAAACATCATTAAACGAGTTCAATTCTTTGGATTAAAATATATCAGTGAACCTAGTAAAAAGTTACTGAGAATTTGTTCATACTCTAAAGAGGTTATATCAACATTAATTATATCAATTTTTTACTGTATGTAACAAAGTACACTTGTCTAAATTTTAGTGCAGAACAATTTTTGAAAGATTTATTTAAACTGACAGTAGATTAATTAACTTTGAAGAACATTATGTCTTCAATTTTCAATGATTTTCATTCTTACAATAAAATAATTATGCTTATTTTTTTCAAAATATCTACTTCTTTTTCCTGATTCATTATAAGTAGGACTTGTCATGCTTTAAATTAACTGTATTTGTATCATTCTCTAGGCTTTATAAATAATAACTACTTCAGACGCATAGTTTACTGTTTCCTATCAAATGAATACATTTAGTGCATTCTTCTTATCTTAACTTTTAAGCGAAAACATAAGAAAAGTAGTCGAGAAAAAAATTCTAGTTTCCTATTTTTTTACAACTGTATCTTTTCGTTGATTAACGGTTGTCAATGTTTGGGTGTTTTTTATTGATAGTAGATTTTTTGTTGAACAACAATTATCCGTCTGTTCATTTTTTAATGTAAAAATGTTACATTAAAAGTACTTATTCATTTCATTATTTTCATATTGTATTTCTGTAAATCATTCATGCTAACAATGGAATAATTTTATGTTCATTTATTGGTAATAAAATATTTTTATTATAGGGTTATAGGGATTGTTGAGTTACGTTGTTGAAATCATGCAACAATCAATGTTAGATAACTGTTAGAAACATGAAAGCACTGGACAACCATTTTGTCTTGTTATATGACCCATCAGGAGTTAGATATTGAACACTGTTGGATGCTGGCGCAGTAGTCTAGAGGTTAGGGATTCACAAGCGAGATCGAAGGTCTTACGTTCGATTCCTGCGTGTTGGGGTCGTAGATGCACATTGCAGATGACTACTACACCAGGGAAAAATAATTTACAACGTTCTAGTATCAATGTTTTATTTGACTATTAAGAGATGTTTTACTTGAGTATTTTTGACAATTAAAACCGATTTTTTACATTTTGTATGTGTACAGTATTATCAATTTGGCACAGTGACTTAAAAGAAGTAGAATCACTTTAGGGGTATTTTATTAAATGAATCCTAAGTAAATATTATGGTTGAAGATAACTGCTAAGAAATCATATTACTAATACTAGAATCTAAGTGATTCTTAAAGATTATGTCTAACTCCTGAAGGTTTTGACACTGAAGAACAATACTGATTGAAATTCTCCACTTTGATTGTTCAAAGTATTACAGTCTACTTGTATATTTACAAGCATTACTGTTAAATTTGAATTTATGCCATTGAATGATATCGTAAACTTATACAAACAATTTCCCGGTTTTTTATTCAAATCTTGTTGTCTATTCAATCACTGTCTACTTAAATAAAGTCAAATTCAACCTGAACTTATTCCCAAAAGTAGACATATTCTTGCAATAATTCATTTCATGTTCAGATGTGTTAGTTTAGTGATTAGTGTTAACAAATCAATTACACATCTGTACATAGACGGCTTGATTGTTTGTGTCTATTTAACCTAGTGCGAATTGTACTAGTCTCATCAAACAACAGACAGGTTTTTTCTCGATCTAATTGAAATAAACAAAATGTTTCTTTGTTTTGTTCTTCATTTCTTGACTGATTGTTAAGTTTAATGCTTTGAGTGAATTCTTATGATTACACTTACTCAGTCGTACTGTAAGTAGAAATTCAGTGTAGAAATTAAAAATATAGATGAAGGATGAATAATAGAACAAGTTTAATTAATAGTAGCATGAATACTTCAATCCTAAGCATTTAGTTTGTTAAAATCAGAAAATTTATTTATTGCGCGTTAATTAAATCAAATTTTTTACGTACTCCATTACATCTGTGTATGTGTTACTATTGGTTACGACAACTGAACAAGGGAAAATAATATTAATCTCCAGTCTGGTTGAAATGGGTTTATTTTTGCATTTGTATGAATTGGCAATGGTTTCATGAGGAAATGAAATCAGTTGGAAAGTATTTGATATACGGAGTAGTTAACTGGTATACAATTAAAGCTTATGGCTTGTTATTAGTGCACAGGAGGAATAACGGAAGGAAGATAGGAAGCTCAATATGCAAGTGTTGAAGTGCGATTAATATCACTGAGTTGAGTTTCGGTAGTTTATTTGTCCTAATTTCATTTAGTTTGTGGACTAGAATGATTCTTAAACAATCTTATCAGTGGTCAGTTGTTTTTTTTCTGACTAGGTTGAATCTATAGTATAACACAACAACTTAGTCAAATTCAATAACAATCAGTAATCAGTGGTAGGAATATTTAAAGTGTTATCATCTGTAGCATTGATTATCATTCTGTATTAATTATTCTAGAAGCTCCAATTATTACATAAAACAAATAGCATTTTTTTACAAATCATAGGATTACATTGAGTATAGAACTTTTTTGAATACTTGTTATGATCACTGTTTGTTTACTTAATACTCCTAATGACACACCAACAGTCTCCTCAAAACAAAAACAACTTTCATTGTACGGTCGTAAAGATTTTTGAGTTTCATCAAAGTCATCAATCGATTAACAACCTCCACAGACCTATAATGATAA